GCTGCTCTCAGACCCTGCTTCATCCACCCGCTAGGTGGAGAGCCGGTCCCTGCCTGGCCCCACAGAGCTTCGGCTGCCTGGCTGCCCCACCCCTGTGTCTTTCGGCCTCCTGGTCTCTGTGGCCTTCCCCGTGGATGGAGAGCCTGGTGAGGCAGTCTGGGAAGGGCCACCCACTCACCTCTGCCTCCCTGTTTTTTCGAGTCCATGTGGGCCTGGTGGGAGGGGCGTGAGGAACCTGGTAGTGTTTGTGTTCTGTGGGCATTTAGCCTGGCTCCTGGGCCCTGGGAGCTCGGAGTAATTCTGCAGGAGGCTGGCCCGGGGGGAGACAGGTCAGTTCTGGAGTGGGGTGTGGACAGGAGGTGCGCTCAGTTCCAGGCGGGGCTGGTAGATGAGCTGGAGTGTCAGAGGGTGTTTGTGGTGGGAGGCGCGCAGCGTTTGTGATTGGGGCCGACTGTCCCCGGGTCCCCTGGGCCCCGTGCCTTTCCGAATGCCCATCCCCATTTCTGCCAGGGATTCCAGACACCGCCTCTGTCCCAGGCTCCTCATGTCTCGTTATTTCAACCTTGACTGCTCCTGCCCCTCCCTTTTCCAGTTCTCCTGCCTTTAGCTATGTCTGGGGTGAGGGTGAGAATGGTCACTAGCTGGACGTGCTTGAATTTTACCCTCAGACGCAGAGGTCGTGGTAGGGACCACGAGACCAGAGACATTGCCTGGAGACGTGGCAGTGGCTGTTCATCCCGATGACGCCCGATACACAGTAATGCCCTGCCCTGCCCTGCCCCTGGCCATCCAGCCCACAGCTTCCTCTCCCCTCCTTCCCCATGGCAACGCCTTCTCTCCAGCTTCCACTGGCTCAGCCCTCCAGGGGCTCTGAGGCTGCCCGGTCTCTTCTCGATGTCGCACTTTTCCTCTCGCTGGGGTTGACCAGGTCGGGCGGGGGCAGATCCGCGCTGCCTGTCCGTGCGCCTACCTTGAGGCAGGTGGAGGAGCCAGAGGCTGCGTTGGCCCCTTGGCCAGCAGAGCCTATAGTAGTCACCCCCCCCCAACCCCCTGAGAAACAGTGGCTGACCCCTCTGGCTCTTGACTTGGTCCTCCCCCTTATCCACAGGGCTCTCCCGCCCTGCCCAGGCCTTTCTGCTCACATGTGCCTGTCCTTGCCCCTTCTTCCCTTCAGCATCTACATGGGCGACACCTTCGTCACCCCTTGACAGGGCAGCTTCTCCCGCTCGTCACAGACTCTGCTGTCCAGCCGCACGTGGGCACGGGTGAGTGCCACAGGGAGCAGGGAAGCCGGGTGCTGGGGTGGGGACCGGGAGGAGGAGGAAAGGCGGGGAACCCGTGTGGAGTCGTCGGGGTGGTGGGGTCACAGAGGGGAGGCACAGAGGAGGGAGGGCTGGGCGGCCTGGGCCCCGATGGGAAGCCTACGCCTGGCGGCCTCCGTGCTCACGGGCTCTGCTCCCCCAGGGGCAGTGAAGGTGACTCCAGCGCACAGCCCTGCTGACGCCGAGCTGGGGGCCCGCCACGGCCTGCGCCCCCTGAGTGTCATTGCGGAGGATGGGACCATGGCCCCCGCCTGTGGGGACTGGCTGCAGGTGGGACCGGCCTACTGTTGCCCACCCTGTGGGGGCACCCCCCGCCCCGTTCTCCTTTCCAGGGAGGCCTTGAAGCTTTGCTGCTGCCCCTTTTCCAGGGTCTGCACCGCTTCGTGGCCCGGGAGAAGATCCTGTCCGCGCTGAGGGAGCGGGGCCTGCTCCGGGGCCTCCAGAGCCACCCCATGGTGCTGCCCATTTGCAGGTGAGCCTCCCTGACGTCTTCTCCTCGGGCTCCTGGGAGGGTGTGGGGGCTCTGCACCCCTCGGGCTGGAACGCAGGCCTGCGTCAGTGTCACTGGCTGCTGTGTCCTCAGGGCGCGGGCCTGGCACCTCGAGGGCTCTGGAGCCCTGGGGCGAGGCCAGGGCTGGGCCAGGGCTCAGCCCTCTCCCTTTCAGCCGCTCGGGGGACGTGGTGGAGTACCTGCTGAAGAGCCAGTGGTTCGTCCGCTGCCGGGAGATGGCGGCCCGCGCTGCGCAGGTGAGGAAGGACGCTGGGCAGATGCAGAATCAGGACGCTGTGGGCAGGGAGGCGACGTGGCCCAGAGGGCTGGCTCGTGTCCTCACTCAAGCCCAGAATCTTCTCAGGAGGTTTGGGAGGTCCTTTTGAGCTCGAGAAGCAGGGGGCGGGGCCGGGCAGGAGCACTGTTGAAGCGTCTCCCGCAGGCTGTGGAGTCGGGGGCCCTGGAGCTGAGCCCATCCTTCCACCAGAAGACCTGGCAGCTCTGGTTCTCCCGCACTGAGTAAGAGGGGCTCTGGGGGGTGGGGGCGGGGAGGGGGTGGTGCTGCTCCCGCTGAGAAGCCACTCCGCTCTGGCTCTGTGGCAGGGACTGGTGCGTCTCCCGGCAGCTGTGGTGGGGCCATCGGATTCCAGCCTACCTGCTCGTGGGGGAGCCCGGGAAGGTGGTAGGAGGCAGAGCGGGCGGGCAGGGCGGGGCTTAGCCCGGAGTCCCAGGCCTGCTGGGGCTCAGGCCGTCTCTCCCGTGGTCCAGCCTCAGTCCTGTGACCTCCCTGCGGAGGCCCTGGGAGACCCAGAGACAGGCTGCCCACCTGTGGCGGCTCCTCACGCGCCTCATTCTGCAGGGCCACGGGGAGGACTGCTGGGTGGTCGGGCGGACGGAGGCTGAGGCCAGGGAGGCAGCTGCAGCGCTGACAGGGAGGCCAGGCGCGGAGCTGACCCTGGAGCGAGGTGAGGGCTGGGCCTGGAGGGGTGGGGTGGGGGAAGCTGGCGGGGAGGCTGGGGCTGAGTGCGCAGGCTGAGGGCCTAGAAGCTGAGGTTCCGGTTCTGTTTGGCAGACCCCGATGTCCTGGACACGTGGTTCTCTTCAGCTCTTTTCCCCTTTTCTTCCCTGGGCTGGCCCCAGCAGGTGAGGCCCCGGGCGAGCAGCAGAGGGAGGGTGGAGGTGAAGGACACGTGTGGGCCCGAGTCTCGAGGAGATGGCGCCAGGGCCTCTTCCTGCTTGTCTTTCCCCCAGACCCCAGACCTCACTCGCTTCTACCCCCTGTCACTTCTGGAGACCGGCAGTGACCTCCTGCTGTTCTGGGTGGGCCGCATGGTCATGCTGGGGACCCAGCTCACGGGGCAGCTCCCCTTCAGCAAGGTAACGCCTTGTCGTGCCCTGTCCCTCGGTAGCTTGTGTCCCCAACCTTGTCCTCGCTCTGACCCCTGCCTTGGTGGTCTCCACCTCCGGATTCCCTCCCCATCCTCAGCCCTAAAGCCCACGGGGTCTCGGGAAGGCTCTCCAGGCCGCCTTCTGCCGCCCTCCCGCCCCCAGGTGCTTCTGCACTCCATGGTTCGGGACAGGCAGGGCCGGAAGATGAGCAAGTCCCTGGGGAACGTGCTGGACCCACGGGACATCATCCGAGGGGCGGAGCTGCAGGTAGGATGAGAGCTGAGCAGGGCTGAGGTTTGTGGGGGGAGGAGCCAGCTGGGGGTACAGGGGTGGGACCCTTGTAGGGGTGGGTCTTGGACTGAGGCGAGCGAATACTCACCTGTCCCAGGTGCTGCAGGAGAAGCTGAGGGATGGGAACTTGGACCCCACAGAGCTGGCGATTGCAGCTGCAGCGCAGGTCTGTCCCCGGTGTCTGCCCCATCCGGCCTCTAGCTCACAGCCACTGGCTTTCTCTGCGACCCAGCCTCCTGGCCCTGCAGCCTCATGGGCATCTGCCACCCCTCCTCCCTCTGGTTGCAGAGAAAGGACTTCCCTCATGGGATCCCCGAGTGTGGGACAGACGCCCTGCGCTTCGCCCTGTGCTCCCATGGGGCCCTGGGTAAGCCGGGCAAGGTGTTGGGGTCGCGAAGAGGGGCTGGCAGGGCTGAGGACGCCCTGTGCCAGCGCGTCCACCTGCATGCGCTCTCCTCTCTCCCTCCCAGCGGGGGACCTGCACCTGTCTGTCTCTGAGGTCCTGAGCTCCCGACATTTCTGCAACAAGGTCTGGAACGCCCTGCGCTTTATCTTCAGCGCCCTAGGGGAGAACTTCACGCCGCAGCCTGCAGAGGAGGTGCCTGGCGTGGGCTTGTCTGCCGTCTGAGGTGGAAGGCAGCCTCTGGAAGGAAAGGGAGGGGCGTGGAGTCGCCCTCCCGTGACCTGCAGCCTCTCTGCCTGCAGCTGTGCCCCGCGTCCCCCATGGACGCCTGGATCCTGAGCCGCCTGGCCCGCACCGCCCGGGAGTGCGAGCGAGGCTTCCTCACCCGGGAGCTGCCCCTTGCCACCCATGCCCTGCACCACTTCTGGCTCCACAGCCTCTGTGATGTCTACTTGGTGAGTGGGGCTGGGCCGGTGCGTGCTCTCCTGCAGGCCTGCCCCTCGTGCCCTGAGAGCGAGTGGTCCCTGGCAGAGCTCTCAGCTGGGTTCCCCATGGTCCGTTCTGTTAGGACAGGAAGATGACGAACCAGGGAACCCTGACTCCCCTTCCCGGGGCTGGTTGAGCGCCTGCCCTGCCTATCGCCTGGGCGAGAGGAGGCGGGAGGCGGGGAGGCTTCTGAAGCAGTCGGACAGGCAGGCCCGGAGGTGGAGGGAGCTTCTTCCTCCGTCTCTGACTCGGTTCAGGCCGGGCAGCTGGGCACTGGGCTGGCCGGGGAGGAAGCGCCATGATCTGCACCCGGGTTCTCAGCTAATGCCGCGGGAGTGCCAGCGGGTGCACCCGTGTCCCCTGCCCCAGCGCGGGCTCCCCAGGCGGTGGGTGGTGGAAATGGTCATTGCTTGTCCCGGGGATGCTGCTAGCTCAGGACCGCTGCCCAAGGTCACTGCTTCTCAGTCTTTTAAAAAACTCTGTTTCTTTGATGAGCAGAAAACGCAATAGTTTTCTTTCTAAGTTACACAACCATCCTACAGTTCGATTACCCACCTTCCTCTGAGAATCCTGCCTGGGGTTTCCCTTCTCATGGGACAGCCGATGTTGTGCCCGCAGTCCTGGCTGTGGGCGGCCAGGGTGTGGCGTGACCCGCAGGCTTCCTCCCCAGGAGGCCGTGAAGCCGGGGCTGTCGCACGGCCCCCGCCCGCCTGGGCCGCCTCAGGTGCTATTCTGCTGTGCGGACGTCGGTCTCCGCCTGATGGCCCCGTTCATGCCCTTCCTGGCCGAGGAGCTCTGGCAGAGGCTGCCCCCCGGGCCGGGTGGCCCCCGCGCCCCCAGCATCTCTGTTGCCCCCTATCCCAGTGCCCAAAGCCTGGTGAGTCACACATCCCTGGGGTGGCCCGGGGCGGGGGTCTTCCGAAAGGGTTAGCTGTGGGTCACTAACAGCTGACACTTCACTGCGGAGGCTTTGGAGTTCTGCAGTGCCTTGGGGAGCCCTGTTAGCACCGTGGGCAAGAGCGACCGTGCCTCAGTTTCCCCTGTCGTTAAACCGGGATGGTAGCAGGCAGTGCCATGCTGTGATGAGGGTGGATGCTAGTAACAGGATGTCCCAAAGTCTCCGTGCAGTTTTAAGCTTTAATAACCTGCAAAGGGTGAATGCCTCAAACTTACTCAAAAATCATTTTCAAGCTTAACTTAGTTTTTAAATGATGTGTTTTCTGAGTTACGTGCTTTTGTGAGTTTTGAATAATACATTTTAAATGTTTTATTTTTGGTTGTTTGGTATCGTCAGTCAGAGCGACTGAACAGGCAACAGCCACTGATCATCTAAGATCGTAGATGGTGCCCAGGTTTTGCGGGTGACATCCCTGAGGTGGTGCAGAGGCGGGTGGGCGGGGCAGAGCCAGGAGAGTTGGCGGGTCCCAGGAGCCTGCTGCTCAGCCCCAGTCCGGTCCCACCTGCAGGAGCGCTGGCACCGCCCCGAGCTGGAGCGGCGCTTTTCCCGGGTCCAGGAGGCCGTGCTGGGGCTGAGGGCTCTCCGGGC